CCGGCAGCCGGGGAGCGGCGCCCTGCACCCCCTGAGGGCTTCCCGCGCCCCTGCCCCTGCTCCTCCGGCGTTTTGGGTGGGCGGACAGAGCCTGCGCACCTCGGCTCCTGAGCCCGCGCCCTGCGGCCTGCAACGTGGGCGCCTGGAGTTTCAAAGACAACACAAGTGGGTGCCACTTCTGACAAGGCAGCCGGGCTCTTTCTAGCCTCTCTGCTGCCATCCCCAATGGGGATGTACAAACATCTCTCCTAGGCTAGCCTGTGAACTTGGCTTCATCAATCTACTGGAAACAACCAGAAATCCTGGACAGGGTTCTTTGGGTGAATCCCAAACTTGAAGAGTTGGGGGGAAAATTTTTCTTAGCAAGCTTTCGGGATTAAAAACCCTTCGTCAGGCTGAGGAAGCACCTGCAGTTGGCACGTGCTCTTCCTGCATGGAAGGAATAGTCAAGAAGCCAGGGGCTGGGCTGGTATGCACACAAGACAGGCAGTTAGTGAAGACTAAACATAGACACTGGATTTATATTATAACCTGCCCACTGTGTGATAACCCCAGGCACCTGCCTACATTTTACCAGCTACATACCATCACCAGGTCAACCTGTCATCCCATTCCCACCCCATCCCACCTGTCTCACACCTATTGTCTGCCCTGGCCTCTGATCCTTTGCGTTTGCACACACGTGCATTTTGCATTTTGGCTTCTGCTCCATCAAAAACACCAGCAGACTTCTATGCCTGAAGAAAGGTGGTTGTGCCCAACAGCTTGCAAAGAACAATTTTTTCCAATTGTTTAGTTGGTCTAATAAAAAATCTCACGTTTACTTAAAGAACCTTGGGAGCCTAGAGTGGAACTGGACCATGCAGGACTCATGCCTGCCAGGGTGCTCTGGTGCAGCTAGCGCAGGCCATGGGGTCAGGGCTTAAAGCTCAGAACTGCTGTAACTTCTGGTGCTTGAGGCACCCCTCCTTCTCAGTGGCACCTTCAGCCCACAAAATGCCTCCCCTGCTCCCCCACCCTGAGCCTCCAGAAAGCCTCAGACTCCTTTAGAGCCTCCACCTATCAAGTAGCTCTGGGGCTACATTCTCCCAGAGGTTTGCACCACAGCACCAGCAGCTGCTGGTTGTAGAGACCATGGATGACACATAGTGGGTTCATGCGGGTGCATGCACCCACTATGCATACCCCCTGGGCATGGCAGTGTACCCCCTGCGAAAAGGCACCAGTGGTGTCTCCAGGTGGGCTTTGGCTTCCTAGACAACGACCCACACATCAGGAGGAGAGACATGCTTGCGTGGGATTGGCTTCACCTTTCCCCCAAAAGTAAGTGTGTGTTCTCTTCTAGGTTGGCGGATCTCCTCTGGTGGGCTTTAAATTAGGCTTGTCGGGGGAAGGGGAAGATGAGGGCAGAGGAAGCCTTGGACCACTAATCCAAGCATCACCCACAAGAACAGCCCAGCCTAGACCGACGACGAGCAGTACAAATACCCAGGTAAGCAACAGGGGCCGGGGCAGTACTGAGAGTAGGGGGCCAGTGCACACATCTTCAGGAGGCCTCAAGTGCCTCTACACAAATGCTCATAGTAGGGGGAACAAGCAGGAAGAACTTACCCTCCAGCTAGCTGACACCAACCCAGGCTCACAGAAATGTGGTGGGACCCAGTGCATGACTGGGCAGTGAATATCAAGGGCTATAGGCTGTACAGGATTGATAGGACAGGGAGGAAAGGTGGGGGTGTGGCGCTCTACATCAAGGAGTAATACATATCCTCAATGAGTGGCACAGGGTCAGAGGAGGGGCACACTGAAGTGCTCTGGGTTAGAATACAAGGAAATCGAGGGGAAAGGGACTTAATGGTGGGGGTCTACTACAGACCACTCAACCAAGGGGAAGAGCTAGAACGGGAATTCTTAAGTCAGCTCATGGAGGTAGTTAGGTCAAAAGACGTGGTCATCGTGGGTGACCTGAACTTTCCAGACATCTGCTGGGATGAGCAGTCAGTTTCCTAGCCTAGATACAGGACTAGCCTAGATACAAGACTCCATCTAACCCAGGAGGTGCACAGCCCTACCAGGGGCTTGTTGGACCTGGTCCTGGCCACAGGTGACAACCTGGGGGGGGGGCTGCAGGTGCTCGACCACCTGGGCGATAGTGATCATCACCTGCTGGAATTCACCATCCAGCGCAAGGTGGCAGAAGCCTGCAGCAAGGCAGCAGCCCTGGACTTCAGGAGGGCGGACTTCAATGAGGTAAGGAGAATAGTCAGGGAGG